GGCGGATGCAGCCGGGACTGGCAGGACAAAGCCCCTTGCATGGATTTTGTGCATCAGGCCTCTAGTGAATAGATATCCAACATCACTGATCTTAGAGAAATCTAATCCAAACCACAATGAGATATCATCCTACACCCATTAGGATGGTCACTATTGGAAACATAGAAAATAACCTGTGTTGGCACAAAATGGAAAAATTGGAGCCGGGCCCACTGAGGGTGAAAACGCAAAATGCGCAGCTACTATAGAAAACAATTTGGAGGCAGATAAGAAATAGACTTACCATGTACCATGTGGTCCAGCAACCTCACTTCTGCTTTTATATCCAAAGGAATGGAAAGCAGGACTTTGAAGAGATATTTACACGTCCATTTTCATTGCAGAATTATTCACAATAGCCAAGAGGTGGAAGCAACTCTATTTTTCATAGAGTAACATAAAAAATGTAGCACATACATATACAATGGTACCTTATTCAGCCTTATAAAAATGGTAATTCTGGATAGTATGCTCCATGAAACAAGCCAGTCACAAGAAGACAGGAACAGTGTGTTCCACTTAAATGTATCTCAAGTATTCAAATTTACAGAAACAAAGAATGTTGGTCACTGAGAGCAAGAGAGGCAGCAAGGATAATTCCAAGATTTCCTGGAAGGATGGATTTGACCTTGACTGAGAAGAGGAGGATTTCGGGAGGATATGGTTGGGAGTTGGGGAGGATAAAGATCTTTGTTTTGCAAACCTTACAATAGAGGTGCCCCAATTATGTCTAGGAAAGATTCCCCAGATCGGCTTAACTCATTCTCTCCTAACCCCTTGGGAAAAAAAAAAATCAGAAGCTGGAGACAGATATTCCTGTAATCTCTGACAACAGATTCAATGTGTGAGTTTTGGGGAAGGGAATCGGTTTTGTGCGCTGTGGGTTGTGACCTTCCCGCACTCAGGGCCATCAAGCTGGTGGGTCCAGGACCAGCCGTGGGCAAACTATGGCCCGCGGGCCAGATCTGGCCCATTTGAAATCTCTAAAACTAAAAAAAAAAAAGACCGTGCCCTTTTATGTAATAATGTTTACTTTGAATTTATATTAGTTAACACAAACACTCCATCCATGCTTTTGTTCCGGCCCTCCGGTCCAGTTTAAGAACCCATTGTGGGCCTCGAGTCAAAAAGTTTGCCCAACCCTGGTCCAGGACTGTGGTTACGGAGGATGCAGAGGGACTGTTGCTCCAGACCAATGCAGCATGTCCATTTCCCAGTGTATCCATCCAGGAAGTAACAGGAAGGCTTTAGCCAATCAATTCTCCAGTCCTGACCTTAGAGATCATTCGGGAAACTGCAACTTTAGTCTGCTTCCCAGTACATTAAAATTAAGTTAAATAATTTATAGTTTTCTTAAAAAGGAAGGCAGGCCACTTATGGTCTGGTTAATGAACTGAATATTGTAATTTTTGTCTTTTTCATGTTATATTATTTTATTTTATTTCTATCAGGATTTATTTTAATTTTATCCTCCTGATATAAAAAAATAACAAAACAAGTACAAAGAATATGCCAGTGCCCATTATATATCATTTGGACAAAGAGCCAAGTCATTTGGGCTTTGAGGACAAATCTTAATCAGTTTGTAAGAACCAGAGAAGGTAAATTGTTTTGAGGTGATCATCTACAACCCAAGGAGATTTTAACTCCTTCTGCAGGCGGAACATGAAATAGTTATTCCATGTCTGATATTCACACTGTAAGCAAAGCCAGGTACCAGTTCTCTCCTGTTGGATGTTCTTTCTTGTATTTGTGACAACACTGAATATTGCCATGATAAGCCCTGTGTCTCTGTGTGTTCTGTTAGAAGTTATCACAGGATGGTTCTAGTTTTTTGGACCATACTGAGGATATATGCCCCAAACAATGAGAGCTCCCATTAATGGAAGCAAAGTATTCTATAAATGACATTCTTTAAATTAAGTATTCTATAAATGACATTCTTTAAATTTACTATTCATTTGCATTATCTACTGCAAGGTCTATCACCAATTCTCTCTCTCTCTCTCTCTCTCTCTCTCTCTCTCTCTCTCTCTCTCTCTCCCTCTCTCTCTCTCCCTCTCTCTCTCCATCCTGTCTCTCCAGTATTTGTCTAAAGACCAATATATAGTGTAGGCTTATTGTGTCTGTTTAAGGCCATTCACATTTGAGCCAACTACCTGAGATTTCTTTAAATTTGAATATCCAGAGAACATCATAGACAGAGAACCTTCCATTCGTGAGCTACAAAGGTGGGCGTAGGACGGTCCTGCTCATTAGACACTTTTAATGCCATAAATAGAGCTGAAAAAGCCAAATACTTCTCTACATCCCTTCACAGCTTCTCCAGGTTTCCTTGCTGCTGTACTGCCCTCTAATGGTCACATTACAGAATTTTCCCAACCAATGATTAGGTCTAGGGGCAGGACTATTAAAAGTCACATGAAAGTTAATGGCTCTTTGTTCAAATTAAGAATTTCAGGATGACAAAAGTAAACTATTAAACCTAACCCAGGCTCTTCTAGGTGGCTGCACAAATTACCAGCCCATGAAGCGGCCCTCCCTACAAGGGAAAATGGATGTGTTCATTCTCCAAGTTAATTCAATGCCAAACTCAAGTCATAAAAATGGGAAGAACTAGAAGCTTTCCTGCTAAAGTTGAACAAAACTGAAAGTTTCTAAATGCCTTAGTAAGACAAGTGTGCTCCAAAGGGTGGAAGTGATACCTGCTAACGTTGATGCTCTAAGACAATGACATCAGTGATGACAGTGACACCAGAGACAGGATCAACTCTTGTTTTCAGCAGTTTAAGCAAAGCATGAACTATAGGGCCATCCACATCTGTTGCCCATTCAGGGATCTGCCACATCTAGGGCTCCACTAATCTGGGCCATGCTTGACGTACCCTCCAGAGAAAAGGGCAAGTTGCTAATTGATGTTAGAAGAATGAAAGGTGCTTTGTGAAACCTCTGGTGAGACCTAATAAAATAATTATGCCTAGGCAGACTTCTTGTGAACAAGGATATATCTTCTTCAGCAATAAAACAACAGCTCCCAACAGGGTTCTAGTCCTGAGGAGAGATGGAGAGTTAGAAAGTGGTCTGTAATATGACCAGGTAGGCAGAACTGCTCATCCTAACCTGGGTTCTACCACACCCACCAACATAAGTTCAGGTGAGGAGAGAAGCATCCATCACAGATGGAAGTGACACTCCTGGATTAGACAAGGGAAGGTGGGTACCTACCACTCTATCCCTGTGATCTACCACTGATCTCTTACCTGTGGAATCACAGAAAGTTACTCTCACTAGTCAACAAAGAAGGAAAATGCTCCACACCTTCCAAGTTCACGCCAGCCCTCAATATCTCCTCCTCCAACACAAACATTTAAAGAGGCAATGAAGACATTCTTCAGAACCATGCAATAGGGCAGTGAGATGAAACTCAACACCCCTTAAAGAAAAGGCTGGGGGGATTTTAGGAAAGAAGAAGGAATTATAGGCATCTGAGTTTGCTAATTGGCTTTACAGAAAGGAAATGTAAGCCATCTCCTCAAGTCCTTGCAGGAGGTCTTTTCACATCTTGGTTGTAAATGTCCCCACCCAAGTTAGGCTCTTACTCTCCCTCAGAGTTTGGGACACAGGGAGGATTAAATTTCAAACGGATGGGGCCAGGTTCTTTAGACAGTTATTCTCTGGGTCATAACACTGGCAAGAAGCCTTTGATGAGATTTATGTATATTTCAAAACTGCAGAGAAAGAACCTGCAATTACTATTTATATTTATAAAAGAAATGGTCTAAGGATGTAAGACAAAGGCATTTTGTCAGGAAGAAACTGTGTAATTGTTAGGAACTCTGAGGGAACATTAAGTCCTCTAGTTCAGAACAAATCTACTTTCTGCACAGTGGAGGGAAACACAACTAAATCTCTTTTAGCCAAGACCCAGTTGACATCTTAATCATTTCTAGCAATGTATAAAGAGGTGCAATTACCCAGCAATTTATGAACAGTTGCAAAGTAGCTGAGAGTTCCTGAACACAGCCAGAATCTGATCTCCCAGAATGCTGTGCTTCTAGAGTTCTCCATGGAGACATTACATTGCTCTTTACAGTCACCTTCCTTTTGACCACAGGTCACCTCCAAGGAAGAAGAGTATTCTCCATCCTACAACATGGCTGGTGTCACTGCATTTGGCCTGATTAGTGACCTAAGTGCAGAGGAACTGACATTTACCACATAGTTTGCTCTGATGCAGGTTTTTCTATGAAACCGAAGATGGGAGTTCTAACAGCCTCTTGAGGTTAGGAAGCCACACCCTCTAGCTTTGGGTAATGCCCTCATCTCCAAGAGATTCCAAAAAACCCACAGGTCAAATTTAGCTCCATGAAAGGTGAGGTCATTTCTAATTCTGTGGGCATCAGTCTAAACTAGGACATTTGAGCCAAAGCATTGGTTGTATTACTAAGGTTTCCAATTATACAGTATTAACAAGGAAGACAGAGTCCTATTTACTTTATGCAAATAAGTCTATAGCCATATAAATAAAAATACTCAAAAACACTTAAGACATTTTTTGAAATAAGTCCATTCCCATTTCCAACAACAGTGGCTGGGCATCCACTACATGTCCCCCTGGAGGAGGGTCAGAGTTTGCATTAATGCAAACTGATCATGTGTCCCAGGGTAATCACACAGCCACTGCCATTCTCTTGAAAGACTTGGTTTCACCTCCACTGTGGAGATGGTACAACATAGACCACACAGCAGTGGGATCTGGTATAGACTATCACCTTAAGTCAACAATAATGACAATGTCAGCTCTCTCTTTTGAGCATTTATTGACTCAATGCAAATCTTCTAAGGACTTTCCACCTTCACAATAAATCTATTTAAAGGGCACAAAAGATTATTCAGAGTTTAGTAACATATAGGAGAAGAGGAGGGTCACTAATATTTTACATCCAGCTCAACCCGCTCACTTGCAGCGGTAACGATGGGGTTGGATGCTACACAGTGGTACTTCCCAGCATCCTCCCTCCTGACGGGGTCTATGGTGAGGGTTCTGTCGTTCCAGGACAGCTTCATCCGCTCCGTCAGCCACAGATTCATGCCATTGAAGAACCACTGGATGGAGACTGCATTTGTGTGGCAGGTGAGGACCACAGAATCCTTATGCTCCGTGACTGTTGTGTTGCTGGCTAGGAGGGTGGGCAATATCAGTGGCTCTGTGAAGAAATAGAGAGCATGGCTAATTGAGAGTAGGCTTTATTCCAAGTCCACCAACTATCTACATATTTGAAACAATCCCTGTCAAAATCCCAATTACTTTTTTTCAGAAATAAAAAAAATCCATCCCAGAATTTATGTGGAATTTCAATGGATCCCAAATGTATGCAACAATCTTAAAAACGATGAATTGAAATTGGAGGTCTCAGAGTTACTAATTTCAAATCCTACTACAAAGGGAAAGTTACTAAAATAGTTACACTGGTATAAACACTTCTATTTGTCAATACACACAATCCAATGGTTTTATAAAGGAGCCAAGACTGTTCAATGGAGAAAGGACAGTCTTTTCAACAAATGCCATTGAACAGCAATATCGACATGCAAACAAATAAAGGGGACCATTTCTTATACCATACAAAACAATTCAGTCAAAATGGATTGAATCCTAAAGGTAAGAGCTAAAAGTATAAAACTCTTAAAAGAAAACATAGGGGTAAGCAGTATGGCATTGGATTTGACAGTGATTTCTTGAATATGAAATTAGATACTCAGGCAAGAGAAGATTAGATAATTTAGATTTTTGTCAAAATAGAAAACTTCTGTTCATCCAAGGACAAAATCAAGAGAGTGAAAGGTGATCGGTGGAATGGTAGAAAATACTTTGCATATCATTAATAGGATGAGGTGTTAATATACAGAATATATAAAGATCTCCTACAACTCAACAACAGCAACACCAAATAAGCTGATTTAAAAATGGGTAAACCTCATGAATACACATTTCTCCAGAGAAGATATACAAAAGGTCAATAAGCCCAGGAAAAGATACTCAACATCACTATCATTAGAAAAATATAAATCAAATGTCTCAAAGTTGATGCTTATGATATTGAGTGTGGGTAACTCCACTGAGCAGGTAACAGGAGAACACTGCCTGTGGGACACTTGAGTCCTCCAAGCCTTCTTCAATCAGAGTTGGCACCTCTCACCTCTCAGCCAACTTAAAGGAATTAGGCAGGTCTATGTATCACAAGACAAATGCCTGGGGCTCTGAGCCCTCAGAGAACTTAAATCCTCTATGTCTAGGAGAAAGCACAGCCTTTCTCAGGAGCCAAGACTATTCAATGGAGAAAGGACAGTCTTTTCAACAAATGGTGTTGAACAGCAATAGCCACATGGAAATAAATGAAGGGAACCATTCAATTGATTAGCAGGATTTGGATGTGGAAAAACAGACAACCTAGAGTTAGAGACACCCCCTCCCCTCCTAATCCTCCCACACCTCTCCTAGTTCTTCACTGACCAGCTGACTGCAATTTTTTCTAGCAGCACAGATCTTCATTGCCCACACAAGGTGTGTTTCTAAGAGGCACCATTTCCCAGGACATCTTAGAGACTCATATTGGAGCAGAAATAAAACAGAGGACGAGGATCAAACCTGTGTTCAGTTGACTACTCAGACCCTGGGGCCATGAGCTGGGTCAGGCCTTCCCAGGTGAGTGTGACTGACATGAGCCACTTAGCCAATAAATGATAGAGCAGAGCCCAAGGAATGAGCCAGAAAGGAGCGAAGGGACAGGCAGTATCTGACTGAGGCAGCAGAACCATATGCTTTGCCCTTGGTCATTAAAGTCATTCTCCCTCTGCTGTGGGCAGGTGAGGCTTGTGCAGATGCAGAAGGGGTGATGAATGGCAAGAGGGGAGCATGAATTGCTGACATTCGGACCCATGAGGACCATTTGTGTTTGGTAGTTATAAGATAGAAATTTGGAAGGATCTTAAAATTCCCCTATATGCAAAAATTACTATTAATACCCCAGGGCCCAAGAGCAATAGCAGGAAGGACTATTTCTCTAGATAACAGCAAAGGGTATGAGACATGGGTCTCAACCCCTGGAGTGACAGGGAGCCTTTCCCAAGTGGCCAGAATTCCAAGGACTCTGCATCCAGGTTTCAGCCTCTGAAGAGGTTTTAGGTCATTCCTTCCTTCAGTAGCCAATTATTTCTTCCTAATTTATCAAAACAACCGAGTGTTAAATCTTGATCCCTTAGCTGGTTACAAGTGTAAAATGGGGAGCTAGCAGGCAAAGTCCTTTCCTTTATATCCAGTGGGAATGACACCAACACATCAGGAAAGCAATCAGTGGTTTCACCTCCAGTGCAGGGAGGAGTGTATCAGCCACCTGAGGGGAAGGTCTGGGTGTTCCCAGCACTGACTGATTGTTAGTGCAGGTAATATGGTTCTAGAGTACAAATAAATTAATTCTCCATTTGGTGTTATTTTCTAGACCACAGTCTCTCTGAGCTGGGGATGCCTAAGGGAAGATCTAAACCAGTGATGGCGAACCTATGACACGTGTGTCAGAGGAAACCTGCGAACTCATTTTTGTAGCTGATTTTTCTGTTAAATGGCATTTAAATATATAAAATAAATATCAAAAATATTAGTAATTGTTTTACTATGGTTGCAAATATAAAAAAATTCTATATGTGACACGGCACCAGAGTTAAGTTGCGTTTTTTCAAAATGCTGGTACTCCGAGCTCAAAAGGTTCACCATCACTGAAAACCAATGTTTGCTTTAGGGATCACTCTGGGATGGAGGAGAGGTAATGGCTGTAGACAGACTTTGAGTCATTCTCATGGTCTGTGAGGCTCTGTTTTAGTGACTATAACTCCCTGTGCCTTGTTTTCCTCTCAATGCAGTACGATGAACATTTGACTGCCAGGGTTTCAGTGAATTAACAATAAAATATTCACAGTATCTGAATAAACATTGGCACAGGGGAGCTGCTCAAATGAGGGGCCTCTGTTATTGATCAACTCCAAGAGAGAATCTCCTGGGCTGATCCCTGGTGGATGAGGAGCTGCCAGGAGCATCTTTCCTCCTTTTTGTTCCCTGTGATTCTGACCTCTCTCTGGACTCTCCTAAATGTTTCAGTGTAGTTCACCAATGGCCTGGTGACCTTGTCCATCTGTGCTAGCCACACTCAGTCTCAGGTGAAGCACCACCCCTATCCAGATGTGGTTCATGGGGCTGAGCTCTGGCTTCTGAGCAGCTCAGAAGCCTTGTGACTCAGACACGTGGGAAACCATTGCGCCCACTCAGCCCTTCCCAGGAGGTTAACCCCAACCTGACACAGGATCCCCAGGGTCCCTGGAGTCAGAAACCCTTGGGCAGGGGTCTGGGCGGGGATGCCAAAGGTATGCTTCTTTATGAGGATTGCAGGGGGCTCCTTAGGATTGGCCTTGGCTGAGCCCTGCAGGGTCTTTCTCAGGGTCATGGTCATGGGGAGGGGCCGAGGGAACCGGACTGAGACTGGTCTCTCTCTGCTGACCGATTCCCATAAGACTGGCCCTTCTCTCTGTGGAGAATGTCTACAGGGCTGGATTCCTGGAAGGGAACTCTGATCTTAGAAAGTTTGTCTCCACTGTGTGTGCGCTGCACTAAATGCCCAAACCCAACCTGGGAGATCATGCAGAGGGGAATGGAGGCGAGTCCAGGGCTCTCAGTCCTGTGTGTTCACCCACCCAACACCCAGAGGTCAGAGAGCAATCACTCACCATATACATTGAGCCGTTCAAATCCTATTTCTTTTAGTATGCTGGGAATGTAGAGTAGTACTATGTAGATTCCTGTGTCATTCTGGGTGAGCCTTTGTAACTGCAAGGATCCATCAAAGTTTATTTGCTCTTGACCGCTGTATGCAGGCCCTGTTCTATGTCCTGGGAACAATCCAAGACGTGCAATTTTATGTTTGTAGTTTGCCCCTTCCCCCCTGTACCCCATGAAGCCTCTAGCATTGAGAGGCATATTGCGGATAAGTAGAATCATATTCTTCCCTTCGGTAGTCTTGGTTGACACAAAAGTGAGTTGGGCAGCGGTGGGCAGGCTCCAGAAATTTAAGAGTGAAACTGGAAGGGAAGAGAGAAATTGATCAATATTTGGATGTATATGTTGGGATGGAAAGATGAGGCCCTGGATTTGGAACAGGTCTCTTCATCTCAGCCTTGGTGTATGTGTGTGTGAGTGGGTGCGTGTGTGAGTGTGGTCAAGGTCAACAGCATGAGCACCAATACTTCAGCACCTGTGAACCTGTTACTTTTTATGTTTCTCAGTCTCTTTTCCAGGTGTCTGTTGAGCTCACCCACTCACTGCCCTCAGACCCCTGCTGACACTTAGGGGTGTCCTTGGGAGGCACCTTCATGGACCAATTCCCGAAAGACTCTCTGTTAATAACTTTCTGACCTGTCTCTGTTCTGTTGTTCTTTTTATAACACTAGTGGACACCTGACATCACATGTAGATATTTTCTTATCTCTGTCCACCCACAGAACGTGAGCTCCATCGGGACTGGTGCTTGTCTGATTTTGCATCCCCAGTGCCTGCAACAGGCTGCAAATACCTGTGGGTGAATGAATGTTCCCAGAGTCCTGCACTTCTTGGGGTATATTTCTCCTTGGCTGGTGGTAAGGATGATGTTTAGCACCCCTGATTAAATTTTCCTCTGGTGCCACCTGACATAAATTGTTATTATTATGGTGACTTTCCCAAATTCAATACTCAGTGATGAATAACTTAGGAATTGACAGCAACTGAAGTACCCCTGCCCCACTCCACTTCCAGATCATGAGATTTCCCAGTTACCTGTTACCCATCTCCCTTACCCATCCTACTCTGCCCCCTGTCTTCTCCTCTCAGGTCCACACATAAGCCCTCCCTCCAATCTCAGAGCGCTGTTCTTCCCAGGAGACCGCAGCCAGTCCCTGTCTTTCTCGCTTCAGTCCACCCCCAGGGATTGTTCCTTCCTTACCAGCCAAAAGGAGCCCCTGCCATTGGACAGGTCCTCTGTGGATAGGGGCTGAGAGTGAGTCCATGGTGTCTGCTGCCTGCACTGTCCCTCCCTCTATGAGAAGAACTTGAATTCCAGGAAAGCTCAAAGGCACCACTGTAGAAGCTGGTGGGATCTGCTGTTCCTCTTCACTGTGCACTGGGCCTCCTCCTGGTGCAAGATCACTTACCTGCTCACGTGGACCAGGGCAGAGTTTGTGCCCATGACAGACCTCCTCCTCCGCTCATTTTTCCCACCCTTTCCCCCTCCTTCCAGCTTACCATCCCTCTAAATTTTGGTTCCTTGGAGCTCCTGAGGTATCTGAACACACACACACACTCACACTCACACACACACACACACACACACACACACACACACACACACACTTACATACGAAAAACAAAAGCCTGGGGCATCCAGGTCATACACATTCCCAATGGCTCCCAGTCAAGTGCACAGTAGCCTCCCCCACAGCCCTCTCTCTTTCACATTTGACTTTTTCCTTCAAAGCAGTTCTGGGGCCACCTCAGGACCTCTTGTCACCGGGATGTCACCACCGCTGTGCATCGGATCACCTGTGAAACTTTGTAAAGATTGCGATGCCCAGGAGACACCATAGATTCTGCTTCAGCAGCTGTCCAGCTAATGTGGATGCCAAAACAGTATGAGATCTGGTGATGTGATGATGGGACACCCCTCCCCTAGTCCTATGCACAGGGAGGGTCTCCACATCCTATTAAAATGCAGATTCTGACTCTGAAGGTGTGCAGTGGACCAGAGACTCTGAATCTGATGGGCTCTCAGGGAAGGTGGGTCTTAATGGCCTTTGGAGCCCACTTGCAACAGCAAGGCTGATGGAGGCACGTGTCCCCTGAGAGGATGACCCTCTCACCCCAGCATTGGCCTCTGCTGTGTCTTGGTCTTGGGTCCCTCAGCACCACACAGAGAGCCCCACAGGCCCCACATTGGGGATTATTTCTGTTTGTAACATAGAAACCCAGCTGTGCACTTCGTGTGCCCCGTGTTCTCAAATGAACTAGGAAGGTTTAATTTCCTCCCAGCAGGAAGACCACAGAGGTGACTGTGGGGGTGAGAAGGGGTCAAGCTGGGTTACGACTGCAGAGGGGACCCTCCCTCTATCTCAGGTTGTCACCAGCCTGGCCTTTGCTTACAGGGACAGAGACCCATGACCAGGAGTCTCAGGATGCCCTGTAGTTCCTGGGAGTGAATGGGAAGTTGTCCTGCATGTCGTGGGAAGAGAGGACTGTGGTGGGAGCTCAGGTGGCTGTGGGTTCCCTGGTTGTCAGGGGCAGTTTCTGGGAGACCATCCCTCTCTGTTGGCTCAGCCTGTCCTAGTGCTCCCTGACCATGGGGCGGTGTCTGTCCTCTGCCTGGGGGAGTTTCCTTTCATTACCCAACCTTGTTCATGGTTGGTGCCAGGCATCGGGCAGGGAGCAGTAAATAGAGCCCTGAGAAAGCAGGTGCTCTTGGGCCTGTTAAAGTAAGAAACTTCCCAACCTGTGAAGATTTTCATGAGTTTATTTGAACCAAGCTAATGTCATATGCATGGAACTAGATCTCAAATCCTGAGCTCGGCAGTTGTGCAACTTATTTTATTCATTACTAGAGGCCGGGTGCACAAAATTTTGTGCACTCAGGGGGCGAGGGGAGGGGGGTCCCCCAGCCCGGCCTGTGCCCTCTCGCAGTCTGGGACCCCTAGGGAGATAACGACCCTCTGGCTTAGGCCTGCTCCCGGGTGGAAGAGGGCATGCCAAATCCCTAAGTGCAGCCCCTGGTCAGGCTCAGACCAGGGCCAATTGGGGAGTTGGGGCACCGCCCCCTGTCATGCACAGAGCAGGGGTCCCCACTGGGGTGCCTGGCCAATCTGGGTGAGGGGCTGAGGGCTGTTTTCCGGGTGGTGAGTGACTGGAGCTCCCAATCGCTCCTTGTTTTCTTCTTTTTTTTTTCTTTTATTCTGGGGCAGCCTTAGCTCTGAGGCCTTGCTACTGAAAACATGGATACAATGTTTCGGTCCAGCTGGGTTTCAGTCCGCCCCCCGGTTTCTGGGGTTTTGTTTACCTTCTTATTTGCAACATAGTACATAGTTGCTTAGAGTTGCAACTGAGAGGCCGGCAGGGGCAGGCGGGGAAAGTTGGAGTCCTCAGCAAGCAAGCCTCATGCTCGCTTCTGTGCCTGGCTGCCGGCCGCCATCTTGGCTGACAGTTAATTTGCATATACTCACTGATTAGCCAATGAAAAGGGTAGCGGTCGTACGCTAATTACCATGGTTCTCTTTTATTAGTGTAGATAATAAAAACAGTAGATGGAGAAATTTGTGTGAATTCCATTATGAAGTGAAGAAATCTCTAGAGTTGATAAATAGCAAAAAGGAGAAACACATTTTTTTTTTACTTTGGTGGGTCCAGTATAATTAACATTACAGCACATAGAGAGGTTATGCAAGGAACCAGGTAACATAAGAAGTATGTTTTCTCATATGCTGGTCCCAGAGTCCGTGCCTTCAAATCATCTTGCAAAAAAACAACTACTCTGATGTGTCAACGGTATGGTATCCAAGATGCATAAGAACTGGGAAGAGGGCTCACTTAACGTAAAGTGTGACCTTTGATAACGAAGCTGTAGGCTTGGGACATGACTCCCTGCCATCAACTGCCCAGTTAGGAATTTGTGATCAGACCATCCTGTGCAGTTATTTTTGGTCACTGAGCTCATCAGGCCTGCCATGTGACCCACTGGGCTTGTCAGGCTTATTTTACAGCCCATTTTTGTTGTTGTTGTTTTATTCACAATCCCTAGAAGTAGCAGGTGGGATACAGCAGTCATGAGGGTGGGGTCCAAAAGCATCTGTGGCAGCAGGGGATGGAAATCAGGCTCCTTCTCCAGCTCCTTAGGCAAAGCCAGGTTCATGTGTGAATTCCCTGTGTTGTCTGTGCGTTTAAATGTCGCCCCCTGGAGAGCAGAAGGAGACCTGCAGCCAATGTCAGGTGCTGCACCAGGGATGCTGACCAGAGACTGAGAGCTGACCCTGACACCTGGGCAGTGGTGGGCTCTGGCCTTGAAACTGAAAGGCCAGTTACTCGGGGTGCAGTCACTGTGGGTCCCAGGCCTCCTGACTCCATCCCAGAACAGGGTGAGCCCAGTAAGAGGACAGGATCTGGGGCTGCTTCCATTTCAGAGGGGCTGAGGGTCCAGAGTAATATGAGTACAGTGGCATGAAAACTGTCCCTCTGGTGGATGTGCTGTTTCAGGAGGAACTCTCTGTCGCCAAATGTTTCAATTACAGAACCTGGTGATGTCTCTTCTGAGGCATTTCGTAGAGTGTGCCAAACTGGAGGGCTGATCCCCCAAATGCCTGTGTGTCTCCATTTTCGCCTTGGGGTGTTGTATCCAAGTCACCTGTGTCCCTCTCCATCCTCTGCTGTAGTCCTCCCCACATGGCCCAGGATCTGAAGCAGCTCCACTTGTAGTGTCAACCACAGGAGCTGTGTGTCCCTCTGTTAGGGGAGGGGTGGCTCCTGTGGGACCTTCAGTCCTCTGAGATGGAAGCAACCCCAGATCCTGGGTTCTCCTGTCCCATCTTGTTGCTGAAGTTCCCCTTGCTCCCCAAGACATCCTGGGCGGGTGAGACGTTCAGGGACTACACGCAGGTGTCCCACAGTCCAGGAACCCTCTGTTTGGGAGTCATTCCCGAATTCCTTTGAAGTCAGTGTGAGCTCTCTTTTCCCATGGTAGTACCTCTAACTGGGGTGAAAGGTCCAGAGTGTCTGCCAGGTCAGGGCTCTGTGAGAAGTTAAAGAACACAGGCTGCTGTCCCGGCCCCCAGAATATGAGACAAAACTCACAAAGTGGAAATAGGGAGGGCTCTGATTTTCTGGGAATGAAGAAAAGTCTGGGGTGGAGCATAGATGTCAAATGCCAATAGACAATACATGGCATGGTTGAGTCCACTTGCAGGCTC